GTAGAACTCACGTTGGAAATTCAACGTGAATCAATTCGATTTCTCCAGAGCTATGCCCACCCTTAACCTGCGAACGGGCATGCTCGGGGAACGAGATTTGTGTCGTACCTTACTATGTGACTATTCACCCTCCAGCTATTCAAAAACAGCATTGACACTCAAGAGAAGCTCAGATTGAACCTCCACTCATTGAGTTTGAGTGTGGGTGAGCTTTTAGAATACGGGCGTAAGTATTATATACCTCATCCCATCCAAATAAGTTTCCAAACTCTCACTGTTACAAATTACAATTATAACAACAGACTCAACAGTGAACAACTAAACAATTCATTAATACATTAAAATGCACATAACCTTCAACAAACTTCTATATGCTAGTCCTCAATGAGGAAAGGCTGGTGGCAAACTGATAGTATTCAAAAGCTATCAGCAGCTTGTCAAAGGTGTTTAACAGTTACTTAATGTTTGACCAATTTTCATAGTATCCAGTCACGATAAAAGTCATTCACAGTTTGGTGTCCAAAACCAAATTTTTGGTGTCCCGTGGATATCGGAATACTGCAAATTTCAGACCCTGATTATTTAATTTATTTAATTGGCGACGCATCGCATTGGGTTAACATCCTAGGTAGCCTTGGGTAAATTTCTGTTAGGGGTGCACCGTTCCGGTTCCGGCTGGAACTATTAAAAAAAGCATCGCCGGAACCGAAACTCTGTCGTTTTCAGAGAGATAGAATATCAAACGTTTTTGCGTCTAACAAAAGTTCACAGTAGGAAGAAATTTGGACTAGGCAAGGAAAATGTACACTATTAACACTTCATTATGATGTTTGTGATGTTACTCTGAGTGTGTATCCACCCCTACCCTGGCCCAGAGGTTTTTTTAGATTTGGCGAACGCGAAATGCGAGAAAACGCGCGAAGAAAAAGGAAAAACAGGCGAAAATAAATACCCTCTGGTTCCAGGGTAATCCACCCTGGGCAAGCTTGAAAAATATGCCTGGCCACGGTGGGAATCGAACCTACGACCTTTGTAGAAACATCATATTCACCTGAGTACACAACACCAACACAGCAAATCATGATTATTAAATTACATTGATATCGATGCAACTAGATTCAGTTCTGAAATATCACATACTCGAACCGACCTGACCGCGTAGCTCAGTTGGCAGAGCATTGGGCTAGTATTCCAAAGGTCGTAGGTTCGATTCCCACCGTGGCGGGGTATATTTTTCTAGCTTGCCCGGTGTGGATACACACTCAGAGTAGTGTTGTGCGCCGGAGCTGCTGGAGTTCTGCCGGAGCTCCGGCAGTTTTTCCGACGTCGGAGCCGGAGCCGAATTTTGTATGCCGGAGCCGGAGTTACGTTTTCCCAACTCCGGCAAATGACAAGAAAACAATATGAAATGAGACAAATGTCAAACGATTGTTAGTTACTGCAAACTGCCAATTGCTGTTAATGAATTCATCATAGACTCAAACTGCCACAGCCCACAGGAACAGCGTCGAAAAGCCGTAACACGATCGCAACTTACAAACGCCATGCTTTCATGAAGCATCTGACTTAGCGCTACATAGTCTGTGTATTCATGCCTTGTAGATAACGAAAAAGTACGAAACAAATAAATATCAACCTTTTGAAAATGACAGAGTACTTTGTTTGCATGCGAACAATTGCGCTGTGGAGTCTGAGTCTTAGCGTCATGCCTCGCGTCATGCTGTATAAAAATTGCAACACTGTCAAAAAATTTTCGAGGCTGGTTTCCATATAGATATTTTCTGCGTGGTTAAGTGTTTTCACTGTTTTGTTTCCTGAGTTATGTTATCTGATAATTAGGAAGCACGAAAAGGGTTATTCATAATAATATTAATAAATGTTCTCTGATCGTAAAATATTAAAATATTTATTTAATATTTTATGATGTTAGCTGGAGCTGAAAAACCGGAGTTTGCACAGCACTAACAGAGTAACACTATCAATGGACCATTTGCATTATAGACTAAATTTTGATCTAAACAAGTCTAGACAAAAATGACATCACA